ATCATTATCACCATCATCATTATCATCATCATCATCATCATCACCATCATCATCACCATCATCATTATCATCATCATTATCACCATCATCATTATCACCATCATCATTATCGCCATCATCATTATCATCATTATCATCATCATCATCATCATCATCATTATCAGTAAGATTGACATCAGCATCATTATTTGTTTCGATCATAATAACTTTTTGAATCATCGTTAGTAGCCTCATAGTCAGTATCATTTTATCATCATCGTTATCATCTCAATCTTAAGTTTATCATCGTCGTCGTCGTCGTCTTCTTCTTCACTATAATTAACTCATCCATTATTACCATCAACATCATCATCAGTCTCTTCATAATTCATCAATAGTATCATCATAGCCAGTATCATTTCATCATCGTCGTCGTCTTTATCTTGAATACCTCATCCTTTATCATCATCAACATCATTTGTGACATCATCAGTGACGTCATCGTCGTTTGATTCAATGAAGCGTAATCAGTGCGGCCCTCCTATTAAGACTGATGGTCGGTAAATCAACGTTTGATAAAATTTAGCGCTTTTTCGTCAGTGATGATGCTGATGGTGGTGATGATGGTGATGTTGATGATGATAATGATGATGATGATGGTACTGATGAGGATGGTGGTAATGATGATGATGATGATGACGACTGATGATGTAGTAGTTCTTGTTGATGAGGATGATGATGATCGAAAAAAGATGATGATGATGATAATGATGATGACGATGACGATGATGATGAGGAGGAGGAGGAGGGGAGGATAGCTTTGTTGCCAAGAAGCAACAAAAAATTATACCCTATGAAGCAAGCTTTTCAACGCTAACAAGCAAACATGCAAATTATGCAAACCATAGATACATAAAAAACCGGAAACAAAGATAAAAAATCAACACAAAACAAAAAACAAAAATCAAAGAAAATAAATTACAAAGATGAACAAAAACATTTCTATGCAAACAAACAGATATAGAGAAAAAACCAACACATATATACATTCGTTTAAGTAACATAAACATTCAAAAACGTTATATTGTAGCACATGAATGCATACATACATACACACATACAAACAAACAAACAAACATACAAATAAACATACAAGCAAACATACAAAAACAAATACCGCGAAACGAAACAAACAGAAAAACATTGCAAGTTAGGTATTCTCTGAGCCATACATCTGTTCATAGGTGTTAGTAATTGTATTCATATGTTCATTTATTTGTTTGCTTGTAAGTTTGTATATTTGTATGTATGTTTAAATGTATGTTTGTATGTATGAGTGAATGTACGTGTTTGTGTATGTGAGTGTATGTGTGTGTGTGTGTGTGTGTGTGTGTGTGTGGTATTTGTTAGTTCATTTTTGCTTGCCCTCTTAGAATCTTTAACGTTCTTTGTCAGTTGTATATGTAACACGTATGTGTGTGTTAGTCTGCATGCTTGGAAGATTTTAATATTTTAAAAGATTTTCATAATTTATCTACAGCATTTCTACCAAAAAAATTACACGAAATTTGTATTGAGGTATGAGGTATTTTTTGAGGTATTCTTGAAACATTTGTATCTTTCTGGTAAATTGAATTAGTTTCTGGTGTAGAAGTAATTTATTTATTTTCTGGCCAAGCGATAAAAAATTTAACAAATTATCACTTTAGAACTTTCAAGATAATTTACAAGTTTGTGTTAATGCATGTATGTGTTTGTGTGTGTGCGTGTGTGTGTGCGCGCGTGTGTGTGTTGTGTGTGCGTGCGTGTGTTGTGTGTGTACGTGTGTGTGTTTGTGCGTGTGTGTGTTGTGTGTGTACGTGTGTGTGTCTGATTTAGCGACTTTAAGTTAATAAATTTTACTATTGTTATAATAATGCCATACTGCTACTTCAGCTAAAACATTGAGAAAAATATTGGTAAACCATTGTCAATAATAATAATCAAAATAATAATAATCATAATGATAATAAAATAATAACAATAATAATAAAATAACAATTTTCCAACAAACCAGCTGAAAAAAATTTGATTAAAACTTCAAAGATTCGTTTCCATTTTTTATTTATTAATGTCACGAAAACATACATAAATAAACACACACACAGACAGACATACAGACACAAACACACACACACACGTACATACATACACACATACATACATTTATCCTTAAATACATACGTACACAAAAGCACACAATACATAAAACATGTACACAAACATTTTATACATGCGATATTATTATTATTATTATTATTACCATAATAATCATCGTCATCATCATTAACAATAGTGACGTCATTATTTTCTTCCACATTTTTTGTTCCTAAGTATATAGCTTTTCATCTCTTCCTACTCTACTACCAAAGTCACCGGAAATAGATCATAAATCATCCTCTAACTAAAAAATTTCATTGTTATAAATAAATAATGAACGACATTTGAAGTGTGCATGGTTCATATACTAGCATTTATAGAGCACACATACAAACAAACATACTCATACATACATATATATATACATACATCATACATACATACATCATACACACATATACACACATACATACATGAAACTCATTTCCAATGTTTGTGACGAAGCAAATTCAAGGCCACCGTGTAAACTAACAAAAATGTATTTCTAAGAGATGGTGAGTTGGATCAAACCACGAGAAATGAAGTATGCAGCCGAAGAAGTATTTTTGATAACGGCAGAGATTGGAAGGTCATGGCAGATTTGTAGGGCATGAGGAACTACCCATCGTTCATAAAGGATACAGGAGCGAGACCCGACGTGGTGGTACAGTCGGTATCAGCAGACAACTGTTAATTTAGTCGAGCTGGCTGTTCCGTACGAAGCTAATATAGCAGTAAGTTACGCCATAAAAGCAGCCAAGTTTGAAGAGCCTGTTAGAAAGATGAAACAACGTTGGTTGAAGTGTTTGTTGTACGCAGTTGAGGTCGCTGCAAGAGGTGTTGTTGATTGTTCAGTGTAGAGCTTTTTGAAGGATTTAGGCTTGGCAGGTAAAAGACGGTCGAGTTTTATGAAAAACATAGGAGGACATAGAGCCAAACAAGTGTCTTACTGGGTATGGCTATGTAGGAAGAAAAGGGAATGCGAGTTTAAATAGTTAACAGACGAGCTCGAGTGCTCGTAAGGCTTCCGACTACTCAACACTCCCAGATTCGACTTGGCGTCTTACTTGGCTCGTCGATATAACTCACATCGTGAGATGTTTATAGGTGAACTGTCTGGCACATTCGTTGAGGGAAACTCTTCCCCTGAAGACTCTCGCTGAACGCTCGTTATGTTCAAGTTTCTACATACATACATTCATACATACATACATACATACATACATACATACATACATACATACATACATACATACATACATACATACATACATACATACATACATACATACATACATACATACATACATACATACATACATACATACATACATACATACATACATACATACATACATACATACATACATACATACATACATACATACATACATACATACATACATACATACATACATACATACATACATACATACATACATACATACATACATACATACATACATACATACATACATACATACATACATACATACATACATACATACATACATACATACATACATACATACATACATACATACATACATACATACATACATACATACATACATACATACATACATACATACATACATACATACATACATACATACATACATACATACATACATACATACATACATACATACATACATACATACATACATACATACATACATACATACATACATACATACATACATACATACATACATACATACATACATACATACATACATACATACATACATACATACATACATACATACATACATACATACATACATACATACATACATACATACATACATACATACATACATACATACATACATACATACATACATACATACATACATACATACATACATACATACATAGTCTAATGAATTATTTATTTATCAACAGATTCATTAATCAAAGTTAGTATTAAAATAATGGTAATAAATCAGTCGGAATTTTGAAAATGTAGTATCAATTTGTTGAAATCAGTGGTAGTAGTAGTAGTAGTAATAGTAGTAGTAGTAGTAATAGTAGTAGTAGTTGTTGTTGTTGTTGTGGTAGTTGTTGTTGTAGTTGTAGTAGTAGGAGTATAAATTCTTTTGTCCATGATTGTTAAAGACATATTCCTCGACAACCACAATAGAACATTTAAAATTATTTTTCTAAAAGAGTTGCTATTAATTTAAATTATTGCATCTTAAAATTTTCTCTCTTTCCTTCTCTTTCTCATTTTTTTCTATCTCTCTCCATTTATCTTTTTCTCTTCTAAATAATTTAACTCCCTAATTGAACACTCTGATTGCTGATTGGTTGGCACGATCGTTAAATGTATTTTATATAAAAACCGGAAAGAAATTGATCTGTGAGTGTAAAGAGATACAGAAAAAATTAGAAAGACAGAAAGAGAGAATAAAAGAAAGAGTGAGAGAGAGAAAAAGAGTGAAAGAAAAAAAAATAAAAGAGTATACGTGGGTCGATTAATTAAATGAATCAAAATCAATTGGAGAAATGAAGTGCTCATTGTTATTAATTAGTCATTGTAAAAAAAAAACTCTCCTTGCAAAATTTAAATTAAAAAATTTTTTTAAAATTTCCAGTCGTGTCGAGGAAACATTAACAACTTCTGCTGCTGCATCAATTAACGATTGAAGCAACATTAATGATGTCGTTACTAAAGCCAACTACAATCATGATAACAAAAATAAATAACCACAGCAGCAATAATAACAACGGTAACACTTGATAACATTGGTTTTAGACGACCGCAAAATCAAATCAATAGATGACAATTGCAACAAAACGACACTAACATGGCTCTCCATCACCATGACAACAACATGACATCAACGACAATAAACAGTTCCAAAAACACGTCATCAACCGATTTTCTGGAATTTCCAAATTCCAAAAATAGCAACTGGTCACATACTTACACCTCCTTCAGGCATGCAACCGACCAATACAGTAGTATCCACGGTTACGTGGCGAGTTTCGTTTGCTGCTGGGGAATTCCGGCAAACCTAGCCACAATTTTAGTCCTAACCAGACCAAAAATGGCACAGTCCTCTACTAACTTCATTCTCGTCTGGCTGGCCGTCGCCGATCTAATCACTATGGCCACGTTTTTACCCATTAGTATCTACTTTTACGCCATGAAATCCAAACATCTTCCCATGCCGTCTACCAGTTCCTATGCCTGGATTGGTTGGTTTTTTTGAATTTTTCCATGTTTTTTTATTATTTTTATTGTTTTAATATTTTTTTTATTGCTATTACTTTTTTGTTGTTGTTTTATAAAAATGCAGACGCACTCCAATTACGTTTTAAATCGTATAAACAAAAAACGTCAATTTAATCCGTTTTTGTTATATTTTATTAAGGAACATGTAAGGAGTGAGCGAGTGAGTGAGTGAGTGAGTGAGTGAGTGAGTGAGTGAGTGAGTGAGTGAGTGAGTGAGTGAGTGAGTGAGTGAGTGAGTGAGTGAGTGAGTGAGTGAGTGAGTGAGTGAGTGAGTGAGTGAGTGAGTGAGTGAGTGAGTGAGTGAGTGAGTGAGTGAGTGATAAATAACGAAAAAATGAACAAGTGAGTGAATCTGAATATATGAGTGAACAAACAAAAAAAATAACAAACGAATGAACGAACGAGGAAATGAATAAGTGAACGAACGAATGAATGAATGAAGTCGGATTAATCCTATTTTCTTTGAAGAAGCGTTCTGCCAAAAATTTAGGGAAACAAACAAATTTTAAAATTTTAAAAAATTTGTGAAAAACTGAAAAAAATTGTTGCTCTGTCTTTTAATGTTGAAATTGCAACTGCAACTGCAACAAAATATTATTATCTTGTTGCAGTTATTATTATCATTATTATTGTTGTTGTTGTTATTGATATTTACTTTAATTATTACGAAATTATTATTCGTGACGTCATTTTCATTCTTTCCTTTTTTTATTTTTGGATTTTAAAAGTCTTCATTTCGTAGGATCTAATGGGATGTGGTTTAATAAAGTTTAAAAATATAAATAATAAATAATAATAATAACTAGAGGCTTTTGAAATGAAAAATAATGAACAAACAACGAACCAATAAATAATAAATTGGCAAAACAAAGAACAAACACAACACGGGCGATAATACAATCGTGTAATTACGCATTCAATAACTTTCCTAACTCCGCCCACATGCATCTACGTCATCAGGTTACTTCATCTTTGCCATAAATTCCGTGGTGACGTGGCACACAATCGCAATATGGCTGACCATCTCGTTGGCTATTTTTAGGTTGGTGGGAATACCCAGTTGTTAAGTGGGAGGGGTTTAATTTTTAACTGACGGATGGTTAGATTGACTTTTATTATATCTTTTTAGGAGTCCTTTTATATGTCCGTTTTTGCCTTTCATGAAATGAACTTGTGAATAAAAAGTTTTTATTGATTGATGTCTGATTGATTGATTGATTGATGGTTGATTGATTGATGGATTGATCGATTAATTGGTTGGTAAATGAGTGCGGGGTGATTGAACGTCTAGCTATCTTGTCATCAACATCATCCTCATCATCATTATCCTCATCATAATCAACATCATCACCATCATCTTCATCATCATTAATTACTATCACCAATTGCTTTAGATACATTTTCATTTGCTACCCAACCAATGGCTTGCAATGGTGTAACAAAGCCAGAGCCAAAACAGCGGTTGGATGGGTCTTTTGCTGCTGTGTACTTCTCTGCGTTCCTAACTACTTCCTAACTGAGGTTCATTTAGTGAAGAGGGCAGATGAGGGGTCCAGTGATGGCCGCACTGAAGATAGCGACATGAAAAGTGTTTTAGGATTGGCCGAATTGAATAAGGAATATAATTATGACGACGACGAAATCGGCGATTCCTATGACGTTGATGATGACGTCAAATTTTTCAACGGCACCTATAACAAAGACGACTATTATTTCGACAACAACAAAGACATCAAAATTAACATCAGTGACATCAACAGCAACAACAATTACACTAACAACAGCAATTACGTCAACAATAGTTACTTTCATTATTACACAGTCAAGGATTCTCTTTCCTTTCCAACTCTATACCAGATTAATTTCTGGATTCAAGTCAGTCTTTACAAAAATTAATAAAAATTACGGTAGTCAAAGTTGTAGCTTTAGTAGTAGTTGTAGTAATATATGAGTAGTAGTAACAATAATAATAATAGTAGTATTAGCAGTAGTTTTTGTAGTAGCAGCAGCAGCAGTAGTAATAATTACCTTTAAGTTTTAGTATTTTTCCTAAAACAACTAAAAAAAATTATTTATAATTAATTAGTAACTATAGTTTATTTTCAAATTTCGAAACGACAACCGAAAAAAAAATTAACGTACAGGCCCTTCTCTTCAAGTTACTACCTTGCATCTTGCTGACTGCACTGACGTTCTGCCTGGTGGCGGCCATGAGGGAGGCGAGCGTCAGGAGGTGCAAACTGAAATCTCAAGGTACGCCCTAATTTGCCCCAACTTGGGTCGTGACAATTCGGGATTTAAATTTTAATGTGATATTTGATAAAATGGTTGATTGTTTGTTTGATTGATTAATTAGCTAACCAATTAACCAAATAAAGATAAATAATTATTTGATTGACAGGAAACAGGGTGGAGTCAGACAGAGCAGCTGAGCACCAGAGGACAACGGCGATGTTGCTTGCTGTCGTTGGGCTATTTTTAGTCACGGAATTTCCACAGGGTTATTATAACTGGACATTTTCAAAATTTTAAATTTATAGTACCGATTGTAAAAACGCTGACAAAGGCGGTCAAATAATATTTAACAAAACAAACGACGAATTAATGAATTAACAATAATTCACAATTCACCTAAAAAAAATATCCAGGGCTTCTGACTCTACTGAGCATTTTCTCCACCCCTTTTCATCACGATTACTACCAACCACTCGGCGACATCCTTGACATTGCAGCCTTGATCAACAACTCCATCAACTTCATCCTCTACTGTGTCATGAGCCGACAGTTTAGAGACACGTTCAAGGAATTGTTTCTGGATGGTTGTGCCGCTGGTAGTGGCGCTGGTGGTGGCAGATGATTGGTGAGGGAGTGTAAAAATGAAAAGGAATATGTGGAAAAAGAAAGGACTAGTATTGTAAAAGTAGAATTTAGAAAAAAAATGACTGGTAGATGTAAAACAGAGCATACGAGAATATAGAAAAAAAGAAGACTTAGACACAAATAAATTAAAAATTAAAAAAGAAAAATAAAAAAGAGGAGAAAGAGTGGCTAGTGACGAAAAAAGACAACGAAAAATCAAAACTATGGAGACGAAACATCGTGTAAGTTGGAGTAGAGAGATGAAAATATGCCTGACGTATATAAATTAGCACGTCTGAAATTTCAGAATAGTGCAGGAGTGGCCCGCGAAACTATTTTGTGCGGCCCGTGAATTCTCCTCAAGGGTCGAAAAAATTTGCTTTTTAAGTACACATGCGGCCCTTCAAAGGTAAAATAATTCTCAATGCGGCCCTCACAACAAATAGTTTGCCCACCTCTGAAATAGTGAATTAGAGGAAATATTAATTTTTTTAAATGTCAAACGATTAATTATAGAAAGAAAAAGGAAATATTTACAAAAATATATAAAACTAAAATTAAAAGAGTATTAAAAATAATAAAAATAATTGGCGATGATGACGACGACTAGGATGATGATGATGATGGAGATTGTAGTGGTAGTGGTGATGATAGGATTGAATAAAAAATTTAGTTTTCATGGCGAAGACTATTGGAAAAAATTATTGTTATTCAAGTGAATTAGTAATAAAATAATTGAATAAAAATATCTGGCTACAGATATTAAATTCCTTTTCAATCCACGCTTTAAACCTCGTTCTTAACGACATAAACAACAATTTCTTCTTCATCCTCATCTTCATCATGTTCATCATTATCTTTTTCTTCACCATCATCTTCTTTTTCATCATCATCATCATCGTCATCATCCTCTTCCTCCTCATTCTCATCATCATCATCAAAATTTTCCGTCGCGTGTCGGTTGGAGTGGCTTTTAGTTAAACCTTTAAGAAGATTGAATTACATTAGTAGTCAAATAAAGAGATGCTGATTATATATATATATATATATATATATATATATACTACAAAATACTGCTATACATATATTATATATATGTATATATGTGTGTTTATATACATAGTACTGTAGTTAAAGTTTGATCTTGTGCTAGTACTACTACTTTTAATACTGCTCCTTTGATTTTTGTAGCGAATACTACAACTACTACTACTTTTACCACAACTACTAATAATAATACAGCTAGTAATATTGCTACAATTACAGCTACTACTGCGGCTGCTGCTAATGATATACTTCTGCTTTTACAACTATTAATTTTACTACTACTGAAGCTAGTAATGTTACTAAGGTTACTAATTACTATTTATTTTACTTCTCTTACTACTGCTTCTAGTAATACTAATTGCTACTACCACTGCTGATTCTACAACCACTGCTGCTGCCACTACCACGGCCACTACTGCTACAGACGCTACTAATACAGCTACAGAAATTAATTTTTTTTTATATTTTTATTTTCATTATTGCTTTTTCGGCGAACCCGGTCGGCAATTTATTTTCGCCCGGATTGTATAAACGTCGCCCATTTGTCAGGCTGATTTATTGATTATTATTATATATTTTTTTATTTGTAATTATTATTATTTTATTTTATTATTATTATTATTTATTTTATTATTATTATTTATTTTATTATTATTATTTATTTATGGTGATTTGTTATAAAATTTATATACATATTTTTCGTTTTAATAACTGTGTAAATATCGAAGGAAAATTTGATAAAACTATGTTTTTGTGTGTGTGTCTGTGTGTGTGTGTGTGTATGTATGTGTGTGTGTGTGTGTGTGAGAGAGAGAGCATGTGTGAATGTTTTTGTGCTTCTATGTAACTGTTTAAATGTGTGTGTGTATGTTTGCTTTTTGTACCTGTATATTAATAGTTGTATATAATAATACTGATTATATATATATACATATAGACATTTGAAGGTTACACACACATGCACACACACACACACACATATATATATATAGAATTATATATATATATGTATAGAATTATATATATATATATATATATATATATATATATATATATATATATATATTCTTGATGAAAATAACAGCATGTTCCGCGTTAGCTTCCAGATTAATTTTTCGATTTTTCTTACGGTCGGTTGTAAATCATCGTCAAGTTTCTTGAGTTCAAAACCAAAATTTTCATTTATTGTAAGCATGCTAGAACAAAAAAGGTTTTTACGATATTCCTATACCATCTTCGGTGTTCGTACTGATACGTTGTGTATGTGGCCAGATGCTCAAATAGCTGCATCCTACTGTGTCTCTACGATGTTAAATCTTGGTTCCTTTGTTTGTTTAAAGTGAATAATTTCATCGTTAGTTTGATTTATGAGAATATATATATATATATATATATATATATATATATATATATATATATATATACATGTAATGCATTTTAATGATGTACACATGAACTTATCTGATGTTTATCTACCAGTTATTTAATCATTAATTTGGTTCTATTGTGTTTTTTTTTTAATTTTTTCCCAGTTTTTTGTTTCAGTATTAATCCACCCATTTATATTTTCATTCATTCAATCAATCATTCATTCATTCACTCATTCGTTCGTTCATTCGTTCATTCGTTCGTTCATTCGTTCATTCCCACATACACTATTCATTCATCCACTCACTCGTTTCTTCGTTCACTTATTTAATTGCATTTTATTTATAAACGTAAACATATAAAGTAAACCACGCTGCAAATGAAACCAAATGATGTTATATGTGTTAGCCACACTTTCTATACTACTTTTTACTCGTATTTTTGTCGGTATTTGCGTTTTTTATTATTACTTTTATGTTTTTATTATTATTATTAAATTATTAAATTAGTCAAACATAATATATATTTCTTTAATTATTATTTTCACTGTAGATGTCTGTGTTAGCATACTTTTGTGTGTTTTGTGGTTACAACTTTGTGTTTATTTGTATCTTATTAAGTATTTGTTGTATCCATACACCTTAATTTAGTTGTATTACCTTAATTTAGATTGATTTTTTGTTGTATATGCGTGTGTGTGTGCGTATTGGGTGTGTGTCTATGTGTGTGTGTGTGTGTGTGTGTGTGTGTGTGTGTGTGTGTGTGTGTGTGTGTGTGTGTGTGTGTGTGTGTGTGTGTGTGTGTGGTGTGTATGTGATGTTTGTCTTAACTTAATTTAGCTTTATTATTGTTGTATAATTTTGTATTAAAATACGTTACTACTGAGTACCTCGGCCTGTATTTGCAAGTTTCATTCGTGTATATATTGTTAATCATTATATGGTATTTATTATGTCCCGGTATTGTGTATTTTCATTTTATAATACGTTAATAATAAAATACATTTATTATGTTTATACATAATAAAAATTAAAAAAAAAATATTCGTTCTTCACAAATCACTTGCATTTTTTCAGCTTTCATATACAGAAGTTTGTGCATCTGTGTGCACGTATGTGTTTGTGGTGTGTATATGTGTTAACTTCATTTAGCAAAGCTCTTGTGTCTTTTAAAATATTAGAATGCATTATGAAGAAGATGTGTGTGTGCGTATGTGTATTTGTGTGTGTGTGTTCATGTGTGTGTTCATGTGTGTGTGTGTGTGTGTGTGCGTGTATAAGATCAGTCTGTGTTTTTCTATGGGTGAATGTGTTAATGTAGAAGGTGGCGTGCTCTGCTCTATAAGAAATTTCCTCTGTGCATCATTTGGCCACGGCTTTCTTAATTTTTTTTCGCTTTTGCGGCATTGTCTGCCATGCATTTCGTGATTTGTACTCTTTTGTTGTTCCTTCAAATATTTCACTCCAGTAAATTCGTGACCGACTGAACTAACTAGTAGTGGTGGTCTTGCATGAAGACACGTACACTCATTCACACGTACACTCACTCACTCACTTCTTACCCTCGTACGTACACACGTTGGTAGGTGCGCAAATACACACACAAACACATACACACACAAACACACACATTTATACACATCTACAAACATATGCAAACGTTTACAACAAACTTACTTTCATTGAAAAATACACAGACTGATATTGCAAAGCGAAACATGCACGTATAAAAACCAAAGCATAGATAGACAAACCAAACGCGCGCACACATACATTATTCTTTTCTCTTTCTCTCTCTCTCTCTCTCTCTCTCTCTCTCTCTCTCTCTCTCTCTCTCTCACTCACACACACAAAAACACACACCACACACACATACACACAGACATACAACGACCTTTCTATTACAGTTGGGCAGTCGATGAATGATCTGTTAAATGAAAAAAAAAATAATAAAATACGTAAAAAGAATAAGAAAAATCCTCGCAGAGAAATGAGAATGTATGAAAGACAAAGAAGAAAAAAAATATCTTGAAAAAACAGATAAAAATGTAAACGAAATAATGTGAAAAAGTCGAAGAGATGCCAAGTCTAATGGAATCTGAAGAGAAATCACTTTCTGACTCGTCCCTTCTTTTGCCTGTCTTATAAGGGCCATGATGGGGGTGGTGGTTTTAACGACGAGGAAGATTATGATTGGTGATGATGATGATGATGATTGGTGATGATGATGATTGGTGATGATGATGATTGGTGATGGTGATGATGATGGCTGGTTGGTTGGTGATGATGATGATTGGTGATGATGATGGCTGGTTGGTTTGGTGATGATGGTTGGTGATGATGATGACGGTTGGTGATGAAAAACAAAACAACAGACGCAATACGAACATAAACACAAAACCATAAATACAATGCAAACATACAATACAAACCACACCTGCAATCAATACATACAAACAAACCACACATACGATACAAACATTCACACAAAACCATACATACAATACAAACCACACATACAATGCAAACCACACATACAATACAAACATGCACACAAAACCATACATATTATACAAACATAGACAAAAAACTAAACAAAAACTACGACTATATATATGACTTGCACAATACACGCCAGAACGACACACACACACACACACACACACACACACACACACACAGATGAATGAGCAATTGGGATAATTAATGGGTGGAGATCATTGCTTGATAATCCGCCCTTGTTTACGTATCCATGAAGTGGCACGGATGGTGACGTCATAATAGTGATGGTGGTAACGATAACAAGGATGACGAAGACGACGACAGTAGGTTTAGTTATTTGTGACGATATGACTATGATTGTTTTATAGCAATGGCCGTAGCAAAAATAATGATACAAACAACAATGGCCGAAGCAATGACGATGAGGCGAACGTCGCTGATAATAATGGCGATGAAGAAGCGACAACTAGCTTTTTTGACGAAGATGATGACGACGTCAGTGTAGTGTGTGTGGTGACGAAGGAATGGCGATAGAGACTATTAGGTATATAAGGTCAGAATCGCATAGGTGATGACAAAAAATACCATCATCTTTATCATCGTTGTCATCAAGTACTCATTTACATGGCAGAGGAATGCCGAACAGGGACTTTGGGAATAAAATCGTAATTTCGCGCTTGAAGTCTGACGACGAACACCAACGAATTTAAAATTTCTAGATCTTTTCGTACTTGAAAGAAAATTCTAAATATTAATAATTAATTAATTAATTCTAAATATTTGTTTCCTATAATATTTACACGAAACACAAAAATAACAAAGAAACCCATTTTATATTCTTTAATAAAATAAAATATATAAATAAAAATTAAAAACAAAAAGGTCTTCATTTAAATTTTTATCAGCATTATCGAGAATCTTTTGAAATATCATTTGCACTGTCAACTTTATTGTTAACATCCTCACTATCATGATTATCCCCGACAATTTCGCCATCAACTGGTCCATCTTCTTCCTCATCTCGCCCATCCCTAGTTTCACTTTCACTTTTAAAATCCCCAGACGTGGGATTCCGAGGTTTCATATCGACAGACCCGTCTGGGTTTTCGCAGTACCTGTTCCCCTCAAGATCAATATAGAAATTGTGGGTGGTTCGTTTGTTTAGGGACTCCTCGATGGCTTGATCCAAGTTGGTCTCGGTGATGAAATTGGGTCTTTCCCTCTGGTGGGTAAAAATGTATCCTAATTAATTTATTTATTTATTTATATTGTTTTAATTGGAATTTTTAGGCAAGATTTTAAACTATATATTTACTCGAAAATAAATTCTGAAAAAGAAAACATATAAAAAAATACATTAGCTTGTTCGAGCAATGCAGTGGCTATCTCGTTTCTTTCAGCATCTTTCCTGTTTAATTCATCAATAAGTTCAAGGTATTCTTCATCTTTGACTACAGCCTCTTTTTCATCCAGATTTTTCCTACAAATGCCACGAAAATATATTTAAAATTTTTTATCATTTTACCAAACCATTTTCATGATAGTATTAATTACATTTAATTAAATCACAGAAATATGGCAAATGGTTGTTTATTAAATTGAAAAATATCTAAGTAATTACAATAGTTGGCCAATCAAGACAAACCTTATTCTGGCAGATTCAGCATTCCATTCATCATTCACCTTTATGACAAGCTCTTTGAAATCTTTCTCGTCCGCCACTCTCGCTGACTTCACTTTCAGAATTTCCCTGGCTTCATTTTCTTGCTTAAAGTATTCACTGCAAAGATCGAGGTTGAATGCGTAATTTAAATCAAATCGAAAAACATCACCACAAAATGAAGTTACCTGATTAATTTCAATTAGAAAAATGTATAAATAAAATTTTTAATTTATGTATAAACATTACAATACATGCATTAATGAGAAATACAATTGAATTTATTTTTATAAATTGAAAAAAGTACTTAAAATTGATACATGTGTAATGGTAATCATTCAATTCATCATATATCATATACATAAAGATAAATATACATTAAAAACATACATATACAATACAATTATACACATAATATATTTTATATATGTACATTTCTTGTGCATGTATATATAAATGCATATATTTATATATACATACATATAATATATACCAATAAATTGGTCAAATACATATAACTGTATGTACTATATATGTTATGAATATATATAATAAAGCATAGACATCACACTCAACAACATTTTTTTATGTTTCTCTAGAAATTTTGTTGATACTGACTATAAAGATTTCCTGACAGTTCTGTAATGTGCGTATCTAACTTTCATTTCTTCGGCTTCCTCAACGTCAATCTCTTTCCTTTCGACAACTCTGTGAAGTTTGGTGGCGGCCAGTGGGGCCCAGATCGGTTTTCTATGCCGGACAAAACTCAACAAAATATTTTTGCCGTTATTGTTGCCATCTTTATTCACTATAGCGTTTTGACAGTTTGAAAAAAATTTTGTTTTTAACAAATTACGCCACATTTCTCTATTTTATTATTAGTAAATCGTCAATTAATTGACTAGTTAGTTATTTAAAAAATTGAAATGATTTCAAAAGGTCGACACGTGCGTTAAGGTGGTTTTTATTAAGCAACAGGTTAAAAGTGAAAACTGATTAGAAAACTTAATTACAATTAAATTAATTAGCACTTTTTATTTAAGCACTTAACTTACATCCAATGTTTTTCAATTTCCAGTTAGAATGTGCGTTTCAAGAAAACAAACAAATTGACTTCTAAAAAAACAAGTAAATAGACACAAGTCGTGAATGACGCATTAATTCTGCGTAACATTTTTTCCATCAAAATCATCATTTCCAGTTGGAAAGTGCGTTTCTTGCAGTAATTATCATACAATATTATAATATGACCTAGATTTGACGAATAGGAGTTTGTTTATGTGTACCAGTTGTCGTTAAGTTGCGTAATAAGACCAGCTGATTTGTGTATAAGTATGTATAACACACTGTGATGTTGATGTTTGATGCATTTTTCATTGTCTTGCTCGTCAAAGTCCTCGGGTCATCTGTCACTAATTTGCTTCAAAAACTTGACTTAACTTTCTTACTAGTAGGCGAATAATAGGAATTTTATAAGGGTTCCTCGATCAATGATCAACCAGTAGCAGTATTTGCTTATGTAACTAAGTGATTAAGTAACGAACCTTGCAGGCGAAACAATACAAAAAGCTGCATTTAATATTAATTAAAAGTTAAAACAATACATACATACGACGTTCACAATATTTTAAGGCAAGCACTAACAAATAGTCGACTACGTGCGTACATAATTTAAGGTAAATACTAACAGACACTTGACTGACAAAAGTAAAATCCGGAATGCCCTTTTTGGGGAGAGACTGGAGGTCTCCGGGCCAGCACTGGGTTAAGGATGCGCAGAAGAGCGAATGGGTGAAGATGGATCTGGTGCGTAGGAAGGTGCTCGTCGACATCCACGAAGAAACTTGCACCAGGTTCGTGGATTATTTTCATTTAATTTGGTACATAAATATTATTTTTTACAAAATTTTCACAAATTGCCACTACGCTGCGGTAGTGAATGCAACAGCGAGTCGTGAATTTGTCGATATTCTAAAAAAAATCATATATTCGGTATCGTTGGTCACGTAAATGGGAGAGTTATTTTTGTGTGGCTGGCGCTGTTGAGAATTAATACAGGCGCAGATTTTGAATACGGGATGACGTTTTAGGGATGTGCTTGCTTATACGCCATACTTCAATCATCTTATGCGCGTATGATGCGTCGTTTGCGTCCTTAAGCACATAGTGCTATATAAATGACGTAATTATTTTCCATGGTCTAAGTGTATGCCATTTATCGTCATATTCAGGAAGAACATAGAAATATTACGTAGGCCGCTGTGCGAAATTAAAGACAACAAAGATGAAACTGCCAAACCTCAGCCATACGTCATCATCAAGCAGGTAACCAAAGAAACTTTATATGCTCGCGACTTAATTTATGTTTTATTTCGTTTACTTAATGCAATATAATGCATGCCTAGTGCAGCCTAAACCTATTAAGAAAATAATGTAGATTTACTTTTATATAACCTTTCCCAGCCAATGAAAACGTCAGTAGCAGAGGCGTTGGTGAAGTTAGGCGTGGCGGAAAGTGTCAAGGACATTCGGAAGGTCAATTATATATGCAAGGTTGTTTTAGTTTTTTTTTTTTTTTTTATAGAACAATAGGTTTTTTGATTCTTCAAATTGCTAACCCGTTTAAACTGACCCTGGCAGTTGATGCAGGAGCTGGTAAGGAATCAGATGACGTCATTAAGTGGGTCAGCTCAGAAGTACACCATGAAGGTCATCGAACAAATCATCGCCAACTGTGAGCACGTTTGTGTTTCGTATTTTCCGTGCAGTTTTATGCGTTGGACCTTCCACGAATCTCTACTAACATTAAGTCGAATAATTGTAATTTCACCAGGCATTTCTAACAACTATCCCAGCAAAAAAGCCGTGAGTGACCTTTTAAATGACCTCGAAACTACTCTGGTAACTGGTTTTTATAATCACGTGGGTAGCGCTTCGTTGTGGGAGGAGCACCACAAGAAACTTGATTGGCTAAAGAAGATACTCCAGCCAGCCTATCCTGACAAAGATGCGAAACAAACCAGTTTAGAGGAAAAATATGCAGACGTGGATCACTTGGAAAACAAGTTGACCTTGAAAGACCTGCCGTTAGAAATGTTGCACGAGGTCATGGCCAAACTGACGAACCACGAAGATCTCAACAACACCATTGAAGCTGTTTTCAGCAGGCAACCGCTGGAAGAAGAAGAACTGCCACCGCAACAGCAGCAACACCAGGGTCTGCAACAACAACAACAACATGACCAACAAAAAAACAGCATCTTGTACAGAAACCTAATAAGTTTCCATTTTCCGGATAAAACAAAATGGCGAACTGTTTTGAGAAGAAAGGAAGAATCAGTGGACGAGTTGACATCGTACGAGCTCTACATGAGACTGCTAAGGTAAGTAGAATGTCAAATACTTCCATCACGTGTCATTGTATGATAAAACTGTAGCGTTCGCAACTCGCGAGCACCGCGTTGCAGCACGCAAGGCGTTTAGCAGTCGTTAAGTTACGACAATGAGCGTTCGAACACAGCCAGTATGCAACAACAACAGCAACAATTTATTCTCGGAGCTAGCTCGAAAATGATCCGCAAATGCGTTTTTAAAACATTTTTACAACTCAACAGACGCTACGGACCCAGAGAAACATACGCGGACATGCTGAATCAGTGCAGACACTGTCAAGCTCTCTACTGGGCAGGTCAAGGTCATCCTTGCTTTGTGAATAACGTTAGCCCCGTTTCCAGACCGATCCCTCCTCATCTATTGGCTGACCTGTTTGTTGCTTGACCTGAATGTTCACTGCAAATTATTTTTCCACCACGGCAAAACAATCAATATTAATTTTTTTTCATTAGATAGACTGCATCGTATTATATTTATATAATATAAAAACTATTTCAGTGGTATTGTGATAACTATTTTTATTCATACGCTCGTGTTATTTTATTTCCTTTCCTTTACTTTTTTATTTTGGCTTCTTCGAATCAATATATTTTTGTGTCCACAGACACATTTTAAACATTTTATATTATACAAGCCTCGAGTTTCTTATGTGCGATCATATATGCGATCATATATATTCATGTGTGCGATTGATCAAACGTATGGTTAAAGAACTTATGTGGGTGAGCGATTTATTTTATACGAACTTATGACAGATGTCTCGTGGATGAAAATGAAAGATAATTTTTATATTTTCTCACTCCTTGTTTTTATAAACATATTTTTTATGAGAGGTTTTCATTTATGAACATACTCATTGTTTTTATAAACATATTTGCTTCTTATGCTTTCATTTATGTACGTACTTCTCCATTGGTTGCCGATCATTTTCATGTGATTTTTATTTCACACCGAAGACAATAGCTGTGTCGATCTTGACACGTTTTTTTTGTTTCTGCTCTCAGTTTGTCTCTTGCATATTCTTACGATTTTACTTCTTTTGCGTTACATGGCAACGAAAACAGTGATATTATTAACGGAAATTTATATTTTAATTCGTTTTTTAATTTAATTTTAATTTATTTCATTTTATTATTTTATTTTATTATTTTATTTTAATTTATTTCATTTTATTATTTTATTTCATTTTATTATTTTATTTTATTTCACATTACCCCACGATAAGCTCAAAAGATTCGTCAAGCTAGAAAAATTTTTAAAAACGAAGCGTTGCTTCTATTTCTGTGCGTCAGATTGGTATGATGAATAATGCTGACTGTTAGATGTATTTGAAAAATTTTATAAAATTTAATTTGAATTTTTACTTCAGCAAATTTAAGATGGAGAAAAATGATCTAATATAAAATATTAAGAGATAGAGAAAGATACAAGATATAATATTGAAGAAGGAAAAGAGATGCATGATACAATATTGAAAAAGATACAAGGTACAATGTTGATGGAGAGAGCTCGCGAGAGATAGATAGATAGAAAGAGTGCAACTGATTGGCACACGCTGGGTAGGACTTATAATTTCATTCAAAAATTTTTAGTTGTTGACTGCTACACTCGTAGCAAGGTTCCAGTAACAACTGACACGTCGTCTTAATCGTTTATTAACCTTCAATCAAAATGGAATATGCATTATTAACCATTGAGTTTCATTATCGTCTGCGCCTAGCTAATTAGGTAATCAATCTAATGAGAACCACTCTTACTGCGGTATGAACAAAGTCACTTATTAATAATTAAATAATAAGGTTAACTGCACAATTATTAATAACATTATAAACACAATCGTAAGATCAGAACAGTTGTGCCATGTGTCATTAAACGGTGAACGTTATTATCACGTGACTGAGAATGGATTTTAATGCTGAAGTTCATCATTATTTTATTATCATATTAGCTGTCGTCAGAGGTAGCCAACATGCATAGTACCTGAATTAGAGAATTAGAAGTTGAATTATGGATTAGGAATTGTAAATTATGAATTATTTTGAATTAAGAATTATAAACATTAAAATAAAGCAAAAACCAAATAGAAGCTAAAACCAAATAGAAGCTAAAACCAAATAAAAAAAATTTGTAAATTAGAACCGATTAAAACCTAAATAAAACATATTATAAAAGTTTTTTAATAGAAAATAAAAAAACTAACATATAAATTGGAGGAAGTTGAGTTGCTCGGCTGCTGCTTCCAATCGACAATCCATCCATTGGAAACTTTATTGAGCAGGTTCTCAAACTCATGGCGGCACCTTTTCAAAGTAGGTCAAGATCGTCTTGCAGAGCAAGTGAGGCAGACCAATGGATGGGAGATTGAAACATTCAGGCTCGCGATCGCGTACTCTGTCCTGCATGAAATCATTCTCTTTTCCTCTTTAAATAACAATCAAATTCTTGGCTAAAAAATGATTTTTATATCCAGACTAACATCATCGGTATAAACGAACGATTGATCGTTTGAACGAATGAACGAAGGAATAAACGAATGAATGAAAAAATAAATAGATGGAAAAACGATTAAAAGGATTGAGTGAAACAATGAATAAATTAAGGAATGAATGATTAAACGAAAAACAAACAAAAGTTAACCCGTCTATGGTTGAAACTTAAGTTAACTTTTCAGTTCATAACATTAGCCGAAAAACTTTTATTTTTTGACTTTAACAGCCTTTTTTTAAACGTGTGAAAAGTTAACGTTTTAAAAATTTACGATATTTCTATAATAAAATATCTTATAAATCAGTTTTTGTCATTATTTTACACAATTTCTCAATAAAATGGTACATTTGAGAAATTTTCGCGAATGCCCTCAGTTTCTCAGAAATCAGCTGTTCAATCCAGTCACCACACGTATGCTACACTCAAACTCCCTAATCGGAAAGTCAAATCCGGCAGCATATCATTTCACTAAATACATATCTTCAATAAATTATGCTAATTTCTTGCATAGTCAACCCAAAACGGCGTCATTTAATGATTTGATCCCGAGTTTCATCAAAGCCCAGGAATTTCCCAATAACGTGGCTATCCGTGATAAATTTCGCTCCCACAGTTACGGAGATCTCCTGACAAAATCTCATCAATTGTCTCATTTTATAAAAAAGAAACTTAATGATAATCGCTCAGGTGCAAAAAAAGTGAGTGCCTTACTATGCCCCAACGATTCGAGGTACGTTGTTTCCATGTGGGGCTCATGGATGGCCGGTAGTTTGGTCTTACCCATGTCCGGCAAACATCCGGAGAATTTGTTGAATTATTTTTTGCAAGATAGCTCGACAAATGTCCTCATTACGACGGAGGAGTACCGCCATGTTGCTCAAAAGTTGAAAGACAAAAATCCCAATGTATATAATATATTTTGTTGCTTTTTCAAATCTACAACAAATTTTTATATTAAATATAATAATAATAATAATTAATATTACTATTATTTTAAATTATTATGTTTATTATTATTAATTATAAATAATATTAGTAAACAACTTAATGTTAATTTTCTAGAATTTCTTGAAAACATCTCCATGTTCCTTGATCATATATTGTAATTGCATAGCATTATTAATGAAAATTTTTTTAGAATTATTAAAATTGAATAATTGATGTAATTAAATACAATTAGTTGACACATCAATAGGTGTGATTATAAGAAAAATGTGAATAAAATTACTTATAAAATAGGTTTGCTTATCCATTTGTCTATTCATACATTAATTTATTCATCCAGTCATTCATTCATTTGTCTGTCTATATATTTGTCCAATGAAATATTCATTCACTGGTTCATTCATTCACTTATTTATCCATTAATTCATTAATTCATTTTTTCGTTCGCTCGTTATGTTCATTCAACCATGGAGGGTGACGTCATGACCATCTGACTCACTAGTTGCAGGTGATAGAGTTCAACGAAGTAAGTGCAAATGAAACCCGCTTGGATAACTTCGATCCTAATGTTACAAAAGTCATGGTCAAGGTCACTGAGGATTTGATGGACCGACCGGCCCTCATTGTTTACACCAGTGGCACTACGGGGAATCCCAAAGTAATGATGATGATTACGATTATGATGATGATGATGACGACGTCGATGATGATGATATTAATGAAATTATTTCTCAAGGGAGCTCTCCATACCCACCGGACCATAAGCACCATGATTCACGGAATGATTGACAGGTGGGGGTGGAGTCAGGACGACGTCATTCTACACGCCCTGCCACTTAATCATGTGCATGGGGTCATAAATGCCCTCCTGACTCCGTTGACCTCTGGGGCCTGTTGCGTCATGCTGCCTAAGTTTGACCCGGAATTAGTTAGCTGTGCTGTGTTTTTTATTAGTTTATATTCTCTAATTTTGACACTTTCTACTTTTTTCATATTTCCTTAGGTCTGGGATATGATATTGAATAGGAAAACATCAACAACCTCAACAAAACATCAACAACAACGTCAACAGCAACATCAACAACAACATCAACAACGATCCAATCCCAACATATTTATGGGCGTTCCGACAATGTACAATATGTTGATTGACAGCTTGCAGCAGAAGGTTGAAGGTGAGCGGTGGAAACTTTCCGATAGAGATAGAAATAAGTTTTTAGGCGCTGTTAAAAATTTCTGCCAGGAAAATATCAGGTCATCAATAATTTTTTTTTCATATTTTTTCATTTTGATTAATTATATTTATAAAATTATTATTCACCCATTAGCAGGTTCATTCATCTATTCATCCATTCCTTTAATCATTAAATCATTTATTCATTCATTCATTCATTCATTCATTCATTCATTCATTCATTCATTCATTCATCCCCAATTAACTTTATTATTTCCGATCCAGATTATTCGTATCAGGTTCTGCCCCATTACCACTGCCAATCATTCAAAAGTGGGAGGAGCTAACAGGTTGGATAAATGTTCATTAATTTATGTTTTGACTGATATATTCATGCATTCATTCAATCATTCATTAATTCATTCATATCGTATGTTAATTAATGCATCTATCTATCTTATGTTTACTCATTCATCCATCCATTTATCTGATCACTCATTCCTCTATCCATTTACTCAATAATTCATACTTTCGTTTGTTCATCTATTCATCCATTCATTCATTCATCCATCCATTCATCCATCCATTCATTCATTCATCCATCCATTCATCCATCCATTTATTCATTCATCCATTCATTCATCCATTCATTCATTCATCCATTCATTCATCCATCCATTCATTCATTCATTCATTCATCTATCCATCCATTCATCCATTCATCCATCTATCCATTTATAAATTCGCACAGGCCACACGCTGTTGGAAAGGTATGGGATGACCGAATTAGGCATGGTGTTCACTAACTTTCTTAATGGGCCAAGAGAACCAGGTTAAAACTACTGTTTTAGTAGTAGTAGTAGTAGTAGTAGCAGTAGCAATAGTTAAAACAGCAGCAGCAGTAGTTGAAGTAGCAGCAGTAATTGTAGTAGCAGTAGCAGTAATAGTAGTAGTAGTTTTTTAGCGTTTTTGTTGAAAATTAATAGGAAAAATATAAAATAAAAAAAAAATCATGATTATCTTAGGCTATGTTGGAAGGCCATTCCCATTGGTCGACGTAGCAATTGCTAAAAATATCAACCAATCAGAGAGAGGTTATGAAATTTTATCAGTTGGCAATGAAGACGGTACGAAAGTTTTCACTGGTCAGTTGCAATTTATGGAAAAATTCTATAAATGGATTTAAATTTTTAAATTATTGTTTATTTTTGTCAACGTCAGATGGCAATGAAGTAACTGGAGAATTGTTAGTGAAGGGTGGTACGGTTTTCAGCGGCTACCTCAATAAAGAAGAAGCTACTTCACAAGCGTTCACCAGTGACGGCTGGTTTATTACAGGTCTGTTTGCTTATTGGTTGATTTATTATTAGTTTTTTAGGATTGGTTTGGTTATTACTGACCTTTTTTATGATTTGTTGGCTCATTTCTGGCCTGCGCATGATTGGCCAGTTCATTTTTAGTCTGTTAAATGATTGGTCGCCTGTTTTACTGATGTTGACGACGATGAAAGACTACAAGTTTTATTTTTAAATAGTCGAATATTTATTCACCAAACCAGGTGACACAGTTTCTTACAGCCAATCAAAAGACTCCTACAAAATTCTAGGTCGTACTTCCGTTGACGTCATCAAACATGGCGGCTTCAAATTAAGCGCCTTGGAAATTGAGAACTACCTACTCAAGCACGAAAACATTAGGGAGGTCGCCGTCCTCGGGGTCAAGGACGAAAAATGGGGTCAAAAGGTGTTTGCCGTGGTGGTGCTCAAAAATAGGGATGTGCCGTTTAACGTCGATGACGTCAGAAAATGGTGCCGATTGCACATGGCCAGTTATCAGGTGGTGTGGGAAGTGGATTGAATGATTGAACGAATGAATGAATGAATGAATGAATGAATGAATGAATGAATGAATGAATGAATGAATGAACGAACGAACGAACGATCGATCGAACGAATGAATAAATAAATGAATAAATGATGAATGAGTAAACGAATGAATAAATGAGAAAACTGATCGATCGATTGACAAACAGGTACCGAGCGATTTTCGAGTTGTCGACGATCTACAGAGAAATGCAATGGGAAAGATCAACAAGAAAATACTGTTGTCACTATACGCCAGAGATTGAAATGGGATGATGGTGATGACGACTACGAAGATGGCGGTTGTGGTGATGAGACGATATCGATGAAAATGATGAAGAGGATGAAAATGATGAAGAGGATGAAAATGATGAAGAGGATGAAAATGATGAAGAGGATGAAAATGATGAAGAGGATGAAAATGATGAAGAGGATGAAAATGATGAAGAGGATGAAAATGATGAAGAGGATGAAAATGATGAAGAGGATGAAAATGATGAAGAGGATGAAAATGATGAAGAGGATGAAAATGATGAAGAGGATGAAAATGATGAAGAGGATGAAAATGATGAAGAGGATGAAAATGATGAAGAGGATGAAAATGATGAAGAGGATGAAAATGATGAAGAGGATGAAAATGATGAAGAGGATGAAAATGATGAAGAGGATGAAAATGATGAAGAGGATGAAAATGATGAAGAGGATGAAGAGGATATGATGCAACAGGCAATGATATAAATAGATGATCAGTACCATTGAAATCTAACCAATTTCATTTGTTTTTTTTTTTGGAGAGTAGAAATTAATTTGAAATAGTGTTTCGTTTTTGCTGTCTGAACTATTCATCAGTCCTCCAATCCGTCTATCCATCATTTTATTTTTTATACATCCATCTGTCCATCCATCCATTTATTTATTCATCCATCCATTCATTCATCTATCCAGCCGTCCATCCATCAATTGCTTCGTACGTCATCAGTGCAATCATCCATCAATCAATCATTCAATAAATAATTTTATTGTTCGCAGCTTTGCTCTTTCATTCGTGTACGTTTCATTCATTCATTTATTCGTTCGTTCATTCTTTCAATCGTTCGTTCGTTCCATCACTCCTTTTTCATCATTCATTCATTCTTATTTTTCTTTCCTTTGTTCATTCACGTGTTTATTCGTTTTTGGCAAATTAATTTTTCATACTTTTGATCAATCATTCGTTTTCAGTTTAACTAATTCGTTTTACTCGCTCATTAGTTCTTTCTACGACTTCTTCTTTTTTATCTTTTAACCATTTACACATTCATTCATCCATTCGTTCAATCATTCATTCAATCATTCATTCATTCATCTATTCCTTCATTCGCTCGACCAATCGCTAGACCTTTCAATCAATTTCCGGTTTGGGGACATGCGAACCAATCAGTCGGGCATTGATTGGTTGTCGCGTGAAACGCTTTTCCCGTCATCCAGCGTGCAATGTGTCAACATTTTTTGGCTTTGGTAACTGAAATTTCGAATCCCAAAAGAAATATACGCGTTTGTGTGTGTGTATTAGAGCGTCTATTTTAGGTATCTTGGTATCTGGATTATAAGATTAGAGATTTCTACACATTTTTATGTACGTACATAATGTGTGTGTGTGTGCGTGCGTGCGTGTATGTGTGTGTGTGTTTATTAGAGCGTATATTTTAGAAAGTAAGCACGTGAAAATGTTGAACTATTTATGATGAGAAATAGACAGCGCAGATAGAAGGTGATAGTTTATTCAGTGTTGGAAAATTATTTATTAGGAGAGAGTAAGGTGTATCCAGAGAGATAGAGAAAAAAAAGTGAGAGAAAGAGAGAGAAAAAATGAGAACTTTTCAAATTTTTTCCAAGTGCTTTCGCAAATTTCCAACTTCCTTGGCGCGTAACTGAGGAACAAACAAACTTATGCATCACATAGATACATCAGTTTGTGTGCATATATACAATGTGTGTTTGTATGTATGTGTCAGAGAGTATTATGTGTGTTTGTGTGTATACATATACACATATATACTTACAAACAAACATACTGGAGTTCCAGGCACGCAAACAAATGTACATACATCAAAACTGACTTATATATATATATATATATAATATATATATATAATATATATATAATATATATATATATATATATATATACGCACATACACACATACATATATATATACACATACCTAATCCTACCAAGTCAGCGTGAGCACACACACACATACCTAAATACACACACAGGTACATACATATATACATACATGCGTACAAACAAACATACATACAAACACCCACACACTCACATGCACAAATACATACAGCAACACACATCATGTCAAACGTACAAAGAATTATTTTGTTGTTATATATATACCAAGATTTGCCTAGGCTTTTCAACAAATGGGTATATATATATATATATAGAGAGAGAGAGAGAGAGAGAGAGAAAGAGAAAGAAAGAGAGAGAGAAAAAAAGAGGGAGAGAAAGAGATGAAAAGAAAGTGAAAGAAATTAATGGGAGAGGAAGAGAAAGATAATATAGTGTAACCAACCCAAAACTAGTTTCTTAGCTGTCATGTCCAGTATTTTTATGTGTTATTGCTATTACCAACAAGTATCTTAAAAATTAAGTAACGTCAACTGTTGGCATGTATCTTTTTCAATTAGTTATTGGTTAACGACTAGTTTAGTGATTAATCCCTGCTGAAAAATAAGTTATCAGCTAGAGTTAGAGCTAGTAGTTAAAGTTACTAGATTAACTTAATAATAAGGAAGAATTGTTACATTGAAGACTTCAAACCTATTTTCGGAACACCGTGTATTTGGTTTATTCTTTCTCCAACTATTTTCTCTCACTTTCTCTCTCTCCCCTTTTCGTTCTCTTTCTCTCTCTTTTCTTTCTTTTTCTCGCTCGCCTTTCTCTCTTTCTATATAATAGAAGATGTATGTATGGGCGAAACCTGTATACTATCATACACCCGGCCATCAATAATTTCATGCACAATAACATACAAATTCACATACACACGTGCACATTCACATACACATACAATTAAAACTATCTGACAGCATTTTACGGTATATTTTTAGTGAGCATCTATAAATGCGTATGGGTATTTCCATAAATGTATACATTCACACATAGGCACGTATATACAACATACATACATACTTCCATACATACATAATACATACATACATCATACGCGCGCATACAATACATACTCCAGTAGAAAGTTGTGTTAATAAGCAAAAGAAAATCAATAAGGGAGAATCGGGCTTGCGTACTGACATGAATGTTTGTGTGTTTGTATGTTTTTGTGTTTGTATATCTGTGTGTTTGTAAGTTTTGTATATTTTTGAATGTTCGTATGTTTTTGTATGTTCACATGTTTGTATATTATTTTCTGCAGATATTTTTGTAAATTTTATTTAATGTGTGATAAAATGTTATCGCACTTAATGTTTCAAAGCTTCATTGTATGTATGTGTGCGTGCATGTATGCGAGCCTTTGCATATATGTATGTATGTGTGTGTATGTGCGTATATATGTATGTACATATGTGTATATATGTATGTGTGTTTTTTCATATTTTATTGTTGACTGGTTTTGGTTTATGTTGATGGGGTTTTGTTTATTGTTTTAAAATCTTCTCCTCTGATATGTTTACTTCTTTTTTTTGTATGATTTTTTGTTTTGTATATTTTGTGGCTTTGTGTACTTTGATGTTTGTATATTTTGATGTTTGTATACTTCGATGTTTTGTATATTTTGATGTTTTGTATATTTCGATATTTGTATATTTTAAAATTTGTATATTTTGCTCCAGCGTTGATGAAATATTTTTGTCATGGATTCCAGTAGTTTTCAATTTAAAAAAAATTTGTTTTTTGGATACAACATGAAATGGAAGGTTGATTACGTTTTTGTGTTTGTCATTATGTACATTAGTATTTGTATGCAAGAATTATCACAGAGGTTTTTAGGTATTGTATTTTCTGTAAGTTTTTTTTGTATAAAATTTTGTATTTCTCTATGTGTATATAAAAGAACTTGCGTGGTTGAATTATGTATTGTATGTATGTATGTTTGTATGTATCAGTGTATGTGTTTTTATCTGTATGTATGTGTGTGTGTATGTATGTGCCTGTATATGTGTCTGTATACATGTATGTTGTATGTTTATAAAATCTTGGCGTGAAAAATGCACTTTTCGGGTCATTTTGTTAGCTCTGTGCACTGTGCATCGATAGATATATTTATTCTTTGTTGGGTTTTTAAAACATTTGTTTGTATGGTTTGTCCTATTTTTTGTGATTGCATTTTTGAAAAATTTTTCTGAAAATCAAGTTTGTCGGCTGTCCATTTCAGTGCTGCAAATAATCTTTTTGAAAATTCTTTCTTTTATATTTCATTTTTTGGGTTTTGTTTCAGCTAAGATTTACGAGGCTCTTTGTTCAATTTCATCAAACGCAATCATGCACTCATATTCCCAAACACACACACACATTTTTAGAAACACACTTACATACAAACACACACACGTACATATACAAACATTCAACCACACATGCGCTCACCGACACATACATACATACACACAAATGAAAACATTCTTATTTACAAAGAGATAAGCACACGCACCACACATACGCACACACACACACACACACGCATATATATATATATATATATATATACACACACAAACTAACGCTTTTTCATTTCTCAGCAGTGACACTAGCATTCTAACAATTGATTAGATGATGTCTTCACAATGTACAAAAAATTTTTTTTTTTGCCATTGAGGGAAAAAGCGCGATATATCACTTCTGGTAGATGCGAGACCAAAATAGAACTTCAAATATCAAAATGGGATCTGAATGAAATCGTTTCTAGGTATAGATGCATAAGATGTGGTTAGACTCCAAAAATTTATTCAATTTAAAAAGAGCCATTGGCTGTGACCTGCACCGTAGACAGATGGAAAATAATAATGATCGTCGGTTGGTTGGTTGGTTGGTCGGTTGGTTGATTGGTTGGTTGGTAGGCTGGTTGATTGGTCGGTTGGTTGGCTGGTTGGTTGGTTGGTTGGTTGATTGGTTGGTTGATTGGTGGGTTGGCTGGTGGTTGGTCGGTTGGCTGGTTAACTTAAAAAGTGATCTTAAAAATAGATGAAACCATAGTTACAGACAATGAAAAAATTTACGAATGAGAGATGAAAGGAAAAAGGAAAAATCACGGCTCTTGAAAAATAATGAAAATCTATAGACAATATCGCAAACTCCGCTTATAATATATAGAAAATTAATGTCTAAAACATATGTTGGATGAATACGTTTGGAAGTGTGTATGTTTGTGTGTGTGTGTGTATGTTTGTGTGTGTGTGCGCGTGTATGTTTGTGTGTATGTTTGTGTGTGTGCGCGCGTGTGTGTTTGTACATCTGACCGTCCGTAATGTACACCATAATAAACATCATTAACTTCGTTTAAAAGTAAATTACCTCTTTCTCGGTAGTTCCTTTGATAAGCATAACACACACACATACACGTACACATATACACACACGTTCTCACGCACGTACACACACACATACACACACATGCTCTCACACACATAAACGCTTACATAACACATACACACACACATTTGTATTTTTCAGCTAGTTAACTTTTTTCAAATGAATGTCTTAAATTGTAACTAGGGAAATTTTTGAAGTAAAACATTTTTTTTACTGTGTACATGGTATTGTGTGTGTTTGTTTGTGTAGGTTTGTGTTACATTGTGTGTGCGT